AATCCAGCACTACACCTAGACTTCAGGCCTGATCAGTGGTTACAGTGGTGTTGATTTCTTTGGAGTTCCAGTGGAAGAAGTGTAGAAGTTTCAGATAAATCTCTGTCACGTTGTTATATCTGCCCCCCATTCATGTGAACAGATGCCCACCTCCTGTGCTCGGTTGGAGGGTTCTGGGTTGTTAAAGTTAAGAAAGACCCATTCTTCAACAGATGGATCAATTCTGTCTATGCAACTTTAAGCAAAGCAGTTTTTAAATTTATTGCACAGAGGAATCTATACAGTATCAGCATCAATGTTTGCAGACTAGGTTTGCTCTGATTAATAAATTAATATCTAAGCTAAAAATCTGTTTTGGGAACTATTATAACAATTATGTAGAAGAAAAAAACAAAACAAACATAAAGCATTTCAATCTTTTACTGGCTTTTGACACTTAAGATTTCATTTAGGCATATATTGGAAAACTGATAAATGTTTTTTTGTTTTTAACTGTGCATAAATATCATTTTGAGATGATTTTTTTTTTTTTTGCACAGATGTGTTTTGAGTATCTCCACAGATGTGTATTGATATGAATGTAAAGCAAATTACACATTTACATCTAAATGGAGTGAAGATGGTTATATCTGAGTTTATGAATGAGTTTGGTGTTTAAATTCAAATCTAAACCATTGCAATATGGCCGCTGCATCAATAAAGATTGATGTTTCCTCATGTGAGCGACGCTAAAATGATCGACTGATGAACCCTTCAGACGGAGAAACGGGACTTTTGACTCTCAGTTGCATTTTAAAACATTTTTATAGAGGTGATGTCTTTATAAAGTCATTCCAACATTGAAGCAAAGAGGGGAAAACAAGAAGAGGAAACGATAGAAAAACAGGTAAAATAGTTGAGTCAGCTTTACGCTCTACTGCAAGCATGGAAGGTAATTTACTAAAAGAGGTAAAATTACTATGTTAGCCACATCGGTGACAGAGGGAGGCAGTTGTCATGGAGACGGAGTCAGAGGAGGATCAGTGATATAACTGAAAGGCAAAAATAAACTATATTGACTTATTTATTTTTTGTCTATTTCCCGAGAAAACAGAAAAATCTAGACTGAAGGATTGACAAGAATTTGAAAAGTAGACTTCA